TGGTCTGCTTCTTGTTTTTCTTTTCTTTATGAAGAAGAAACATAATATTCCTAACAGGGGAAGGGACAATAGCCCACAACCTCCAAACCATGACCAAAATTATTTAAATATTGGTTTATATTGTGCCTAACAAGCTCGACTCAAGGAAAAATTTAGAAATACCTTCTTGCTTCCGATAGATATCATCTGAGCTGATACGATGTAGAAGTAAAGTCTCGTTGTCTTCTTCATCAATGACAAACAGCCCCAACTCCTCTGATCTCTATCATAATAACATATAAGTTACAAACTAAATAAGCCAAATGAAAGATTCTTTGATGACTACAAATTTTATGAGAAAATGTAGTGCAGCTGTATAATCCCATCATTGTTTTATTAACATCAATCAGATCAAGAAGTCAGACAAACCTCCATATAGTCCACAGTGACATGGCCTGTTCCTTGGTCATCCCACTTGCCATCATCATTCAACCGGTAAACCTTAACACGCTGAAAAAATGTTTTCAAAATTTTTAATTAATTATTATCTAATTGTTTATCAGGTGCCCGACAGTCAGACATCTTAGACAATAAGACCTCAACAATACTGAAAGGAACAAAAAAAACAACAATACATGTTCACCATTAGAATATATGCGCCAAAAGGCCATATCGCATTTCAAATTGAAATATACATCCATAATTTTTTTTATAAGAAGCAGAGAGGATTGTATAATGGCCATAAAAGCATACAACCTAAGGGTGAGGTAGAAAGAACCAATTTCTAGTATTCAAGGAGAGGCTATAAATACAAAAGAAGTCTATGGGCTGAACCCCACCAAGAAGCCAAATGCTGTATACTATGGACAATGAATCTTCTTGAACTCAAATTATACTCCATACTATGCATAAACTAGTTTGTAAGGATTAAAAAAAAACAAAAGAAAACAAGAAGAAAAAACATGCAGGGAAAAAAATATAAAATAATCTTCTTCTTCTTCTTCTTCTTCTTCTTCTTCTTATTATTATTATTATTATTATTATTATTATTATTATTATTATTATAATTATTCAATCAATTCAACATCTCTCTCCATCCTTTTTTTCTTTCTCGTTCCCTTTTCTCTCTTCCATAAGAATCCAACCAACACATTTTCATAAAGATCCAAGTGATTTCAACGATGAAGACTTGTGTGAACTCAATGATCATTGATTTTCCCAATCATCTTCAAACCAAACAACAAAATATCCATTACGGCTCGACTTGCTCCTTTCCCAAGTTAAAACCCTAGGCTCACATTCTTCACCTCATAATGAAAAGAAAAATTAAAAATTTATGTGGAATATGACACTCATATCATGGGGGAATGGGCTCCTGATACTGGGTTATCAAATATGACACCCAGTATTTTATAAAAAAAAAAAAAACAAAACAAAAAAAGAGGAACAACAAGGCAATGATCGGTAAAGTTGTATCAGGCCACTATAGCTAAACAACGCAAATCTAAAGAAGAATAACAAAACTTAAGCCAAGAAAGAAGAGCTGAGTTGAGCTACAAAAGGCAATGCAAGAGGAAGAGTAAAGGTAGAGTGTCATTTGTCTCAACATATTAACAAGGTTAAAATTGAAAATGTTGGCATCACAATAACCCAATTGCCATCTACATTTGTCGCATTATTGCCAAAGGAGGATCTCTAAAGAGAAATTTCAGGAACCAATGTTCGTTGCGTAACCGAATATCCTTTGATGCCTCCAACGGAAAAATGCTCCAAGAAAAAGAAAACAAAACGTAACTAAGCATTCATCAACTATAACACTCTCCCATCTTCACTACCACAAATAGCAAACACAATTCAACCAACGACAATTAATTACGCTACTCAAAACCCTGATTAAGCAAAATACAAACTTTGGAAAGTGCCAACATATCTCCCCACACAAAAACAATCCAAACCGCACACAAAAAGCTCTAGCACTGAAAAGAAAAAACCCAAATTAAATCGTAGTAAAAACTTGTAGTTCATATTAAATGAAATTCTTCCACGACGCAGAATAGCAGAAGCAATAAACTAACATCCAAACTAAAATACTGAAAGATCAAGCTCAAGCTCCAAAACGAGAAAATTGAAGTTGAATAGCCATAGGCCGAAGTAAAGCTAATCAGTTAAGTATATGAAAGCTGACCTGCATGGAATTGGAGCTGGTCTGTGACCTATCCAGCCCGCCCATTGTAAAAGCTTGAGTCGGAGTATCAAATTGGAGGGAATTGAATAGGGAAAGGAGAAATTCGGTTCAGAGAAGGAGGAGAGATGAGAGGAAACTGAAAGAGAAGAATCTACTTGAACGGGGAGAGGGATCGATACAAAACCCTAGAAACAGCTGTAGACGACGGAAGAAGCAGTGTGAAGCTTCCCAACTCTCTCTCTCTCTCTCTCTCCCTCTCTCCCTCCCTCTCTCTCTCTCTCTCTCTCTCTCTTCCTCCCTCTTTCTCTCTCCTCTTTTTTAGAATTATAATTTTGTGGCAGTGCAGGCCGAACTATTACGGCGCCAAGTTTTCTTTTTTCTCTTTCTTTACTCATGGAAAATATTTATTTTGATTTAATTTTTAAATTTTTTTTACTAAATAATAAAAATATCTCATTTTAAAAATATTCTTGAACTTTTAAAATTAAATAATAGACTTATGGGTCCCATCCATACGAAATATGGCAGGCACGTGGGAAAAATAATAGCACGTGGTAATATTGGAGGGTGAAAATTCCCTCCAATCATTGGCGTCCACTCCGAAGATTACAAGGAACAACAAACGGTGTTTGGTTTTGGGCTTTGGGAGGTGTCGTGTGAATGTAGGTGGGTTTGGTATCTCATTCTCTGAATTATTTATTTCGTGCATTTTTTTTAATTTTAAAAATACTTTTTTTTTTTTTTAATTTGATAGAGTTCATAATCCAACTCGAATTTAAATGGCTCTCTATTTTTTTTTTTTTTTTTTTATATACTTATCCATAATATAATATTTTATTATTGTTATATTAATAATCATAATATTGTAAAGTTTAGATATCAATTTTCATAAGTCACATTTATTATAAATGTCAAATATTTGTAATTTTTATAATAATATTAAAAGTGTGCGGGTATGTGGGTATGGTTTAGATAGTAAACTTGTAAATAGACGGGATTTTTCTATTTTCTTAAAATAAAATTTAATCCAAATCGAAAAAAAAATTTATAACCCAACCCAAATGGATCAATTTATCGAGTTATTCGTAATTAATTATTGATTTATTTCTCATTTTTTTAACAAGATTCTTTTAATAATATTAAGTCATAGAAAATGATATTCTAATTTTGATTTTTTTTAAAAGGTAAATATTAACGTTCTAATCATATTTAAAAACTAAATTAATAACAAGTTAAATCAATAATTAAAATCTCATAAAGAAATCTAATATTAAATATTAACTCTATTTTATATAGAGGGTTGAATTAGGTTGTCTACTCTATTTTGAGTTCGTGGGATTATCTTGGAACCCATCAATCCAACTAATTTTTTTCTCGATTTTAAAAGAATTAAATCTAACTCAAATTGAAAAAATAAAAAATCAAATCAATTTATAATTTTGATAATTTGAATTATTTGAATCATAAAACCAAGCTATTTTTTTTTTTTCTAATAAAATTTAAATGGAAAGGAAGAGCCGTTTTCTTTTTGGTTTTGTATGGAATATTTTTGGATACCCGAAATATTTATTTAAAATTAATATTATGGTTATATAAATAAAGGTACTAAATTATTGGAATCTGCCAGGGAAATTATGACCCGTGAGTTCAAGGTGGAGAAGCGAATTTCAAAAAAATAACTTTATGAAAAAATAATTGAAATAAAATTAATTTTTTTTAGTTTAAATAAATAAATAAATAATTTATGAATTCAATTCATGGATTTTATTAAATTATGAGTTAAAACAAACCAACTTTAATCTTAATATTACAAAAAAAAAAAAACTTAACTCAATAATTATTTTAAAATTATTTATTTTTCAACAACTCAATAATTTTTTAAATATTTAAAATGTAATTTTAGTATATTAACCATAAAAATTCCAATAATTCGCTGAACCCAACTAAAATATTTTTATAGCGGGATTGGATAAAATTAGATTAATTATTTGATAAAAATTATTTAAATTTAAAATTAAATTGAGTTTAAATAATATTTATTAACCATGGTTAACCCATTACAATATATATTAAATCGATTTATATTTTCAAAATTTAAGAATATTAATTTATATCAAAATTCTCATTTAAAATTTGTTTTCCTTTTCCATAACATTTTGTCATTTCTCAAATAACAATAAACACGTCAATTTTTATCCACGCAGAGAAAGGAAAAATAGCTAAAAAAAGAAAAATACACTCAAAAAGTAATTTTGATTTTTTAAAAATATTTTCAATTAAAATTTAATTAATTGCAATATTAACAACAATTTAATAATTTTAAACTTTATAATTGAACTAAAAAAACTTTATTACTTTCTTTTCTTATTTTCGTTTATTTAGTAAAATTAGTTTATTCCAATTAGATTATTTAAGATAAAAAGTGATTTTTGATAAATATATACCTATTTCACAAATGGTTTATTAATATAGAAATATTCCAATATATTAAATACTGTCTTGATTGAGGTTGAACACAGAATCTTTGGTATAATATTGTCCACTTTGAGCATAATCTCTGGTAGCTCTATTTTGAATTTCTCCAGGACTTTCGTCATCAACACCTCTTTCGTTTGTAGTAAGTTTAGGGCATGACTCTAATATCATGTTAGATAAACACATTTTCTAGAGTGGTATGATATTGTACACTTTGAGCACAAGCTTTAATGTATGTGTTAGACTTCATTATAAATCCATGATGATTCTGGTGTAGTACGATTGGGCGGGTGGGCAATAGACAGACGGCGAAATGGACAGAAAAGGAAAAATCCGATCAATCACAGAGTCAAATTCACGTATCTTCTCCAGCCGTCCGATGACTTCTCTCTCTACAGGCTTTTGGAGCTATAAATACCTCTCATCCACCGCTTTTCTATCCCCATGGTTCCGTCTGCCATTTATCTATAGGGAGAGAAACAGATACAGAGAGAGAGAACTCTGTTTCTGAGTTATGGCTAGAGCCAGAGATATCGACGATCTGCCGAAGAACGACGCCAACTATACCGCCTTAACGCCGCTGTGGTTTCTCGAGAGAGCCGCCTTGGTTCATCCTTCCAGATTATCGGTTGTCCATGGATCTCGCCGCTACAACTGGCTTCAGACTTACCAACGCTGTCGCCGTTTGGCTTCTGCTCTTTCGAATCGCTCCATCGGCGCCGGAGATACGGTTCTTCTCATTACTTTCACTCGCTCTCTGTTTTTTTTTTTTTTTTTCATTTTAAAATCTTGTTAACTGTCTGTGAGTGTAATTCGTCTGTTTGGATTTGGCGGCGGTGGTGGTTGTTGAATCGTTGGACTCGGTGAGTGGAAAGTAATTGCTGGATTAATCGGTTTTTGTGTGGTTTCCTTTTTGGTCTTAAAACTCAACTCGATCAGGAGAATTATCGGAATAGATTCTAAAGAGTGATACGTTTATGGCATATAGTGATGAAGTATTTATTGGTCGAGTTTTAGCCTTGTCACGCTTGCTTACTTTATGATTTGGAAAACCAGAAGCTGTAAGCGTTAATCGCACTCAATAAAGCTTGGGGTTGGGATCTTCTAGTTTTTGTTGGCTCATAATATATGATCACTGATTTTTTTCAGGCTATTGTTCTTCGAAATGGCAGTGTTCTTGTTGATTATTTCAGAAATTCATCTCATTAAATTCTATAGGATTACGATACCACGAAGAGTCGATTGCGTTTCACGCGTGTTCTATAGGATTCCAATTATGCCTCGCTGCTTTAAGAGCAAAGTCGATTACGTTACTTTAATAGTTCCTGAGCGGAATTCCGGGGGTTCTTTAATCTGTCTAATACGTTATCTTGGAAATTCATTATTTTAACATCTCTTCGATATGTTGTCTTGGGAATTTGTTGATGTTATCTGAAAGAAAATTGATTGATTTTTTAGGTGGCAATAATTGCTCCAAACATACCGGCTATCTATGAAGCTCATTTTGGAGTTCCCATGGCTGGAGCTGTTCTGAATTGTGTTAATATTCGTTTAAATGCACAAACAATTTCATTTCTTCTCGGTCACTCATCATCTGCAGTTGTTATGGTGGATCAAGAGTTTTTTCCCTTAGCAGAAGAAGCTTTGAATATCCTAGCTGAAAAAGGCCGTGGGCAGTACAAGCCACCACTTCTAATTGTAATTGGTGATGAAAGCTGTGATCCCGACGCACTGAAATATGCTTTATCGAAAGGGGCCATTGAATACGAGAAATTCTTGGAAACGGGCAATCCTGAGTATGCTTGGAAACCACCAGAAGATGAGTGGCAGAGCATTGCTCTTGGCTATACGTCTGGCACAACTTCAAGTCCTAAAGGGGTGGTTTTGAGCCACCGAGGGGCATATGTCATGTCTTTGAGTGTAGGCTTAGCGTGGGGGATGAATGATGGAGCTATTTATCTTTGGACCCTGCCAATGTTCCATTGCAATGGTTGGTGTTACACATGGGCACTAGCTGCTTTCTGTGGGACAAGTATATGCCTCCGACAGGTATTAACAAGAAATCTTTTCGAACCATTTTACGTTTATCGAATAGTTCCTAGTATGCTAAATCCTAACGACAATAGATTGAACTAAAATGGAAACATTAAGAAGGTTTTTTTCATTCATTCTTTCGAAACTCCTCTTTGAGGCCGCTCGTAATTTTTACGGTTCATCATCGAACAACTTTTCAAATGCTCGAAAACACTTGTTCATATTTTTGTGGTTTTCTAAATGCTGTCATGTTATGATTCTTCTTGATAGCAAGCAGCTTTTTCCTTTGGTTGTTGTTACAGGTCACAGCCAAGGCAGTTTATTCAGCCATAGCCAAACATAAAGTAACACACTTTTGTGCAGCACCTGTGGTTCTTAACACTATTGTCAATGCCCCTAAAGAAGACACTATCCTTCCCCTTCCCCATGTCGTCCATGCAATGACAGCAGGCGCTGCTCCACCTCCTTCTGTATTATACGCAATGTCCCAGAAGGGCTTCCGCGTCACTCACACCTATGGCCTATCGGAAACCTATGGTCCCTCCACGGTATGCGCATGGAAACCAGAGTGGGACCAATTGCCTCTCGAAGCCCAAGCGCGAATGAACGCTCGTCAAGGCGTACGATACATAGCATTGGAGGGGTTAGACGTTGTCAACACTCAAACAATGCAACCCGTCCCTTGCGATGGAAAAACTGTCGGAGAGATCGTAATGCGTGGGAACGCTGTTATGAAAGGCTACTTAAAGAACCCGAAAGCAAACGAAGAGGCCTTTGCAAATGGGTGGTTCCACTCAGGCGATCTCGGCGTGAAACACCCAGATGGTTACATAGAAGTGAAAGACAGATCAAAGGACATCATCATTTCTGGAGGCGAGAACATCAGCAGTGTGGAGATAGAGAACACGCTGTACCAGCACCCGGCGGTGCTGGAGGCGTCTGTTGTAGCTAGAGCAGACGAACGGTGGGGAGAATCCCCTTGCGCTTTTGTGGGATTGAAGGTGAAGATAGATAAGGATAAGGAGCGGGAAATGGGTGAGGACATCATGAAGTTTTGCAAGGCGAGGATGCCAGCTTACTGGGTCCCGAAATCTGTGGTGTTTGGGGAGCTGCCAAAAACAGCAACAGGGAAGATTCAAAAGAATCTGCTGAGAGCGAAGGCGAAGGAGATGGGGCCTGTTAAGATCAGCAAGCTGTAAGGAAGCGTGGAAGCCCCACTGGAACGAGCCGCCGCCCCCGCCGCTGCTTCTGTAGGTACTTTGAGTATGTATTGTATTTTACAGGGCAGAAACAGAGTATACAAATACTTTGTTATTCTAATACAGATTCACTGCTACTGAGATTTGTTTGAGTCACTTCAAATTGTCTTTAGCCAACGTTGTTTAATTCATATGTTTTCAACCCTTTTTATTATTATTATTTTTTTATTATTTTGTCGGTGATTGCGGAGATAGAAAATTGGAGGGTTTAGAGAGAGACAAAACGGTATCTTACCCCTAAATTAATAAAAGTATTCTTAAATTTTATATTTCTATCTAAAAAGAATTCATTAAATTTATTAAATTTTTTAAAGTTTTGAATGAAAATTTGTTATTATTTTATTTCAAAAATAATATTCAACTTTACAAATTTTTATTAATACCTCGATCTACTTTTTAAAAAATTTAAGAGTATCTATACAATTAGAATTCTATTTAAAAAATACTAATAAAAATTTTAAAATAGCATTAACATGCATAAATTTTACATTAAAAAAATAAATTTAATAATATTTTGAAATATGATAGTATTTTTGAATTTTTTTAAAAAAATTAATGATATTAACCAAACTTTTAAAACTCATAAATATTTTAAAAATAATTTAGAAAGGTATAAAAGATATTTTTGAAACAAATTATTAACAAATATTTTTATTATTTTTAAAATTTACAAATAATTTTAAAGTGTAATTGCATTTTTTTTTTTTTTTTTCAGTTCAACTTGATATTTTATCAGCTACGGAGTACGGATTAGGTAAATGTTGCTTCTGGAGTAAAAACCAGCCATCCCGTTTTAGAGTTCGTTCCGTTCGATATATATATAAAAACGAAGTGACCAGCGCGCCTCGGCTCAGTCTCCAGAAGGCCATGAAGGGGCTTCATTCTTCGGGTCTCAGGGCGACGCCTGTTCTAAGAAATCGACCTCAAGAAGCTTACTCCACGATTAACGAGTATCGGAGACGAAACCCTTCGAACACAGTCCACAGAACTTCAAAACACAACCCCTTGAACAACACTGAAGCGCCTTCAAGAGGTAATCCTTACCCACTAACTAGTCAATTAGAGAATACCAGCTTGATTCGGCACCCCACTCGTGAACATAGTTTGAATCTTAAACCAATTGATCATTCATATATTTCTAGGATTCTATTGAGCAAGGACTGGTTTCTATTGCTAAACCACGAGTTTAAGGCGAAGAGGCTCGTTTTGGCTCCTCAATTTGTTGTTAGTATTTTGCAAAATCAAGAAAACCCATTAAATGCTATAAGATTTTATATCTGGGTTTCGAATATCGACCCTTCACTTGCAAAGAAACAATCGATTCGAGGGGTTCTTGGCCGCAACCTTTATCGAGAAGGTCCTGATCGTCCGGTGTTATTGTCAGTTGATCTACTTCAGCAAATTAAAGAGTCTGGTCTTAAAGTGACACAGGAATTGCTTTGTATATTACTTGGAAGTTGGGGTAGATTGGGTTTGGCAAAATACTGTGTGGAAGTATTTGGGCAAATTTCGTTTCTGGGACTTAATCCCACCACCAGACTGTACAATGCTGTAATTGATGCATTGATCAAGTCCAATTCTCTGGACTTGGCTTATTTAAAATTTCAGCAAATGTCGTCTCATAACTGCGTTCCTGATAGGTTCACTTACAACATTCTCATCCATGGTGTTTGTAGGCTTGGGGTGGTGGATGAGGCACTTCGTTTGATGAAACAAATGGAGGGCTTGGGATATTTTCCGAATGTGTTCACGTATACGATCTTGATTGATGGATTTTTCAATGCCATGAGGGCTGAGGAAGCCTTTGGAGTTTTACAGACAATGAAGGAGAGGAATGTGGTTCCAAATGCAGCAACTATGAGATCCCTGGTTCATGGAGTATTTCGTTGTTGTGCCCCGGATAAAGCTTTTGAATATTTATTGGACTTTGTCGAGAAGAAGCCAGGCGTGTCTCAATTGGTCTGTGACAATATTCTTTACTGCCTTTCAAATAATTCTATGGCCAGTGAGGCTGTTATGTTTTTGAGTAAAATGGGGAAGAAAGGTTATGTTCCGGATAGTTCAACCTTTAATGTCACTATGGCATGTGTATTAAATAAGCTAGACCAGAAAGAAGCTTGTGATATATTCGATAATTGTACACAGAGAGGTGTCAAGCCAGGGTTCAGTACATATCTTGCGCTTATTGAAGCTCTGTACAAGGCGGGGAAAACGGAGATTGGAAACAAATATATGGATCGAATAATAAAGGATGGTCTTGTTTCGAACAACTATTCATATAATATGGTCATTGATTGCCTTTGCAAAGGCAAATTAATGGACAGAGCAGCAGAAATCTTTAGGGATCTGCAGTCTAAAGGCATTTCTCCAAATATTGTAACTTTTAATACACTTATTAGTGGGTATTGCAGAAATGGAGGTATGGACAAAGCTCAGGAATTTCTTGAAATGCTATTAGAATGTCGTTTTAGACCGGATATCTTCACTTTTAATTCAGTAATTGATGGCCTCTGCCAAGCACACAAGTACGAAGATGCTTTTGGTTGTTTCAATGAAATGGTCGAGTGGGATGTCACTCCAAATGCTATCACGTATAATATATTGATACGCTCCTTTTGTGCGATTGGAAATGTTGCTAGATCTACTCAACTCTTGAGAAAAATGCAACTTCACGGTATACAACCCGATACTTTTTCCTTCAATGCTCTTATCCAAAGCTACTTTCGAATGAATAAAGTTCATAAAGCTGAGAAGCTTTTTGATTCAATGTTAAGGTTGGGTATACAGCCTGACAATTATACTTATGGTGCTTTTATTAAGTCTTTGTGCAAGTCAGGTAGGCATGATGAAGTAAGGGAGATGTTTCTCTCAATGAAGGTGAATGGTTGTACTCCTGACTCTTATACTTGCAGTCTTATTAACGCCCATATTTAAATCTTTACTTGATCTTTATGTGAATGCTGAGGAAATTGTGGAGATTGAAGAAAATATGTGAACAAGAACATTTTATGAACAGCTTGGACATCGGGTATTGGCCGTTTATTGGTACTGATACCTTGATGTTTTCAGATATGAATTGTTTCAAGTACTGTCAAAATAAAAAATGTCCGTTGTTGTAGAGAGAGGAGAACGGGCGATTCACTTTCTATTTGATGTTAACAAGCAGTCTGATGAGTTCTTAGACGCCACGTCAAATACAGTCTTTCTGAACTAATCAAGGAACATATCCGCAGTTATTAAAAAGGGTCATGGCTTTTTACTAAATCTTGATGCTTGGCCGTGAATATGCTAAAACTTAAGGTGCCATCATATTTCATTTGCAGGCACACTTTGGTGTGTAGTACGGCACAGTCACCTTGAACAGAGTAGTTGAAACTCCAAGGTTTAGGGGATGAAACTTACCATCTGCCCCCTACATCGACCCCATGGTACAATGTAAGGTTTCAGAATTTGGCAGGATTTTCAATACTGTAGCCATGGAGTTTCTTCGAGGACGGGAAAAACACAAAGGCTTCTATGATGGATATTCATCTGTGATTCATGTGACCTCGATACTTTATCTGTTGCCAATGTGAAATGGCGAGCAGGTGTTATCTTCCTATGTATTTATTTGAAAAGAAGTCCAACGTTGAAGAATTTTTACTGATTTCTCTGTAACTACTAACCTAGGCTTGATTTGAGGACTGGACACTCCAAGACAGTTGGGAAATTCTGAAACCATTTCTTGTGCTATTCCATTTCCCCCTTTTCTGTTTATCATGTCAGAATGATGAATGACATAAAAAGGACTTGACATGGCTGTTTCTATTGGCTTTTGAAGGGAGATTTGGTCTGTCAATTTCGCATCTAGCTCTTATGATGGAGATAACACAATGTTAAAGTTTTTCTATTAGCTTTCCCGCCATGAAATTGTAACAGCCCAAGCCCACCGCTAGCAGATATTGTCCTCATTGGGCTTTTCCTTTTGGGCTTCCCCACAAAGTTTTTAAAACACGTATGCTAGGGAGAGGTTTCTACACTCTTATAAAGAATGTTTTGTTCTCCTCTTCAACCGATGTGAGATCTCATAAGTAGAATAGGTAGGTTGTTGTATAGGGATTATAAATTCTTACTTTTAACTAGAATTCATATAATTTCCATTTGATTGTAGCTAATGCTTTTGATAGGTTAAGTGGATAACGTTGCATATACAGTGGGTGCCACACGTTTTGACCCCGTTGAAACTTTCTCCAAGAACTTGCTGTGTTTGGATCTTGTCTAGACGCTGTCCATGGGATAGAGGTAACATACTCTGATGACACAACACACTACTTGCGGTCTGTTTAAAAGCAGCCCACTGTACTTACGAATTAAATCAGCTCATTGTACTTTCTTCTATATGAATTAACTTCAACCCATTGAGTACGGAAAAAAAACTGAACCTGGGATAGGTATTATATACAACAAAAGACTGATATTAAACATATTTTGCTTGTAGCTGTACTAGTTGATAGGAGGGTGGTGGATTAATATTCACGTCGTATAGCCATTGTATGTTCTCTAGTTGGTCTGCACTCTGCAGTAGGTTTCTCGAATCAAATGCTTAATGTTCTCTTTTATACTTGTTCATTCTTAAATGAAAGGTGTTTCTTAAAAAAAAAAAAAAAAAAAAAAAAAAAAAAAAAAAAAAAAAAAAAAAAAATTGCTATTAGCTAAANAGCCACTTATCATGTTCTTGGGTTGATGTGGAATGACCTTTTGCCTTTCAGATATCTTGAAATGCCTCTTAGGTCATAATTGTAAAACTTTGTTTCGGGATAGGTTGAAAAAGTTCCAAACAAACCGGTCAGAGATTCGAATCTCACCCTACAACAGATTTTTACCTCAGGAAAGGACCATTTTTTCTTGGGAAGGGTAAAATACTTTAATCAAGTCCATGCACACAATTCTTCTGTACTTTCTATTCTGTTTCGAAATTCTGACTGATATTGAATAGAAAACTCGAGAGGGTTAACAGAGTTTTTTTTTTATGGAAGGTTGTGGTAAAAGGGGTTGGTCCCATTTAGTTAGTTGGAGGTCAGTGTCAAGATCTCTTTGTGTGTGTGTGTGGGGGG